TTTCTAAACTTCAGCTAAAATGCTGAATGATAATTAGCTGCAAAATTTGTAAATTTGCGCGCACCATCAAATCATTCTTCTAATGCCACGGTATGCATCGTAAACACCTTGAACTTTGAGAGAAACAACATCATTTATTACACAGCAGCGTTATAAATGAAACAATTCTCCTGCCAAACTGCATATTGAAATCATCATGGATGAGTTAAGACTAAAAGAGAATTCCTTTATGTACGACATCGCGACTAAACATTGTTTTATAATACTTGCTCTAATCGAGGAGATCTAGTTCTTTCAGATCATCAACGCCAAATCGGGCTTCTCCATGTAATCTCGCTTTCCGAATCTAAACTAATGCAAAAGAATATTGAGTACTTTGGTTTAACTTGAGAAGTTACTTGGCAATTTATTAATTATTATTCTCTAATTTAGCAGTCGCCTACCTGACCATGCTAGATCTATCCATAGGAGCTCTCTTTCCAAAGCGGACCATTGAACTACGATCCATGGGAGCTCGTTTCCCGAATCTGAAGAATCTATTGGCTTTAGTTCCTTTATGAATGTGACTCGACATCATTCTACAGATGTTTGCTAACTTCTGCTCTTACTAAACAGCACCGTACTATATAGTAGCATAAATGTGCACCCACCGAACCATTGTCGATCTGTCCATTGGAGTGCGACCGAATCGCACCATTGAGGAGCGGTCCATTGGGGCTCTCTTTCCGAACCTGTAAAACTTTATATTAACAACTTCGGGTAAATTTGGGAATTAATTATAGTTCCTTGAACCAATGTCCCTACAGGGGCTTTTGTGTCACAACCAGAAAAAATTATTCTCGCCCAGGTGCTTTAAGTGCTTTCTTTTATTACTTTGTTAAAAAGCATGTAAAGTGTGTCCCTACTACTTGATCCGTTTTGCGTTGCAATTTTGGCAAGTTTTAAAGAGCTCATAAACTGGAAACAATTTTGTATTGGATCTAGAGATAAATTTTTAAACTTTTCTCTCTCTTTCCCCTCCCCCCCTCCTCCATTCCTTCCTCCTATAAAA